AGCAGGAATAACAATGAATCTGAGCTCTAACATACTCTTGTGACAGCAGGAAGTTTTGAGGGCAGTTTTGCAGGAATTAAAAGGTAGGAGAGGCCTGTGCTCAGACATATAGCTGCTCATTTGTATAGCCTTTCCACCTGCACTCACGTATGCCCATTGCTTTGCCTACGGACCTAACTATCCTCGCGGACATGCATTAGACATGCGCATAGAACACTGCACGGCATCTAGACCTATCCCCCTCTTCTCCCTGCGCACATGGCACAGCTCCTGCCCGCTGTAATGGCCTATTGCCACCTGCCAGGCAGCCTCAGAGAACAGCCCTCCTCCTCCCCCTCCTCCCAGAGGCCTTTCACCTTTTGGGAGGGATGCTCTTTAGCAAACTGAAGGCTGGTAGTAGTTGCAAAAAGGCCAAGCAGCTGCCACCGGGAGACCGTTGACCCCCCTGTCCCTGTCTCCTTCAGGCGTCACTCTCCCATGCCCCTCCTGAGCAGGGGCTGGACCCTATCGCATAGTACAGAGCCGTCATCCGTGTCCCCGTCCATGCCGCCTCCTCTGTGCTCTTGTCTGGGACGGGTGCTCTTTGGCTCTGCCTGTTTCCCTGCCCTGCCTGTGGGGAGCATTGCCTGGCAACCCCCGCCCCATCCACATCCCAGCCACCCACCGCGGATCGGCATCGACAGCCGCCTTCCCTACCCTCACACGGTGCAACGGGCTGCAATTTCTGTAGCCCCTGACATGCAGAGAGCACCACTGTCCCGCAGGTCTCTCACGTTGCTGCCTGATAACCAGCCAGGCCTCTATTTGCCCCTGTGAGGCAAGGAAAGCAGTTTCACTGCCTTTCTCAGCTGGCTGCTTGGTGGTCCCTTGGCCTGTATCCTCCATCCCCAGCTTCCTTTTGTCAAAGGTGGAGAAAAGAAGGCATTTTAGTTACCAGGTCAGGCTACTGGCCAGCAAGAGACTCCCATCTCACTCCTGCAGGGAGACTGGGGAACCAGATATTAGAAGGCCGGACACTGCTACCTAATGCCTTCACTGAGCACCGCTCCCAAAACCTTTCTGCCACCCCAACTACCGGATACACTTTCCATCCACGTGCTCACGTACACAGCTCAGTAACGACTGGGGCTTCCTACTCTCCCACAAACACCTCTACACCCGCCCCCACAGCCGCTTTTCTGAATATGATCTTGCTCAGCAAGGAGCTGAGGGAAGCCAGGTCTGGTGTTAGGCCCCTCACCTTAAATGCGCTGCCTAGGCCTTCCTGATAGTGATCCAGCAGGGGGAGCAGCAAGAAGGGAAGTGGAGAGGCTGCCTGGCTGTCTCTGTTGCAGGTGCCACAGTGGCCCCATGCAGCTGGGAGGCACAACTGCCGCAGGCCAACATCTCTAACCTACTCACTTGGCTACATATGTTAAAATCCAGCTAAGATTTCAAAGCACTATTATTTATCTCCTGGGCGACTTTCAGCAGTATCCTGGAGATTTATATCAAATTCTTAGAGACTCCAGGGCAATCCTGCAGGGTTGGTAACCTTAGTAACCCTGTCCCCTCCAAAAACCATTCCTCCCAGCACTACTTCCCCAAGCACTCCTTCCTAACTCCATCGCAAGCACCACTCGGTTCCCTGAACAAAGCAATTCTTCGCTCGGAGTATACAGGCACTTCTCCCTGTTTCACAGTCCATCCCCCAGGAGCAATATCTCTTTTTGCAGAGGGTAAGTTGTGGCTTATGTAGGTACGTGGTTTTGTTTCAACCCTAATCAAGGTTCCATATCCTAACAGGTGTCTTTGGCTGAGAAAGGCTTGAGGCGAGTCACTCTGCCTACTGATTGATGGCTTACTGTACCTTTACACAGTACTTCCAGCAAGGAAGCAAATAATAGCATTTTAGCTTCAAAATCTCATCTGCCCCACAGGAGTCCTCAATACTGGCACTAGAGTACTAGGCTAGCTACTGAAAATTGCATTTAAATAGAGGGTAGGTATTAGCCATGCATGAGGCCCCAAACTACCATACTACATGCTTGACATTAACATGGATGGCCACTAGATGGCATCATTACTCCACAGTTTAATTACATGAACTGCCACTTCTGACAATGAATTAGTTTAAGAGTCAGAAAGCCAAATCCTCTGTTTTAACTCAAACAGAATTCCTCTGAGCATTTTCCTGAGTAAGGCTTAAGTAAGGATTTCAAGACTGGTCACATATTGGAAATTGAGTGATTGTGACTGAAACATCACCAGAGATAGTAGTACAGATCAGATGAAGGGTGCTGGAAACAGATTTTTCTTTCTTTTTATTTTTAACACAGCATATTTCTGGTAAGACCACAAGGAGTAAGTACTATGTGCAGACAGAGTATCTGTTTTTACCGAATATACAAATGGGATGATAAACGATTAATGACTAAGTAAGAATTTCAGATCACAGGCAAAGATCAGGGCTGAGACTACTTGTATGCCTTTGTGTTACATAATGCAAAATGATGCTGACATTAACATTTGTTAATATTTGTGAAGTTGTATATAAGGCTGTGTGTACTAATTTTGTTTTTCAAGTTGCAGTTTTGTGAACACAGAGCTGATTATTCAAATTGTTAACAGCTAGATGAAAACGCTTAGTTTGCCTGGGTAGTATCATATTTCCATGCTCTGGGGGAGCAAATATAAGCTGCCCTAGATAACCAGCTAAGATCCCCCCAATAAGTTCCAAGAAAGCAGACCTCCGCTGCAAAATGCTGCTATCCCCTAGCCTAGTTGAAGTGTTGTAAGCTACCAGAGTAATAAGTAATTATTTTTACTTAATGGTCTCCCTGCTCTGATCTGGGGAGAGAATGGCCTAAAGCAGTGTTTCTCAAACTCTGGCTTGCCGATCAGATCTGCTCCATGCAACCATGTCAGCCAGCAGAGCCCAGGGCTGCAGCAATTAATGCTGCCACTGCTTCCCTGCCACCAAATTCCAGACCTGTGGGGAGCCCCACAGATCAGATGACAGATCCATACACTGGATTGTAGCAGCTGAATCCAGCACGTGGGGCTGAGCTGGTGCTGCTGTGGCTGGATTCAGTGATGCTGGGGTAACCCTGCACTGGATCATGCCTATGGACTGACTTCATATGCAAAATCCAGCCAGCAGACAGGCCCCATGCCACCCATCTAGATTCCCAGGGCCAGATAGGTTGAGTACTACCAGTCTAAAGGAAGGTGGTATGGCCCACTCTCAGGTATTGTGATAACCATAGCTCAGCCATTGATTGGGCACTTTATTTTTCAATATTCTGTTTGCATTTAGAAGTTGAAATGAGCTATTCCAAAAATAAAGCGTTCAGTCAGAACCATAGGTAATATTATGAAGCCCCGTCTCCCAGTGAAGTGACTGTCATTTTATTTTATTATTTAAAGGTGAAAAAAATTGATCCAAACCTGTATAAGAATTTTAAAAGCCATTATTTTGGAAATGAAACCCTGCACCGCCTAGATCTCTGCTCCATGCTGAAAAAAAAGCAACCCAATGGCTACTACCACTGTGAGTCTTCTATCACAGTCAGTAAGTATAATACTATTTTATGTCTTGATTTTATTTAAAATCGAAGAGTTGGATAACCTGTTAGCACTGCAGATATGTGTTTCATAAATCTTGTAATGTTATTAGGTAACCAGTAGATCTAAGCTATGTATTGGAATTTAAGCTACTTATTGCTTGTGGCAGCATCTGGCCATGCATCTCCTGTTGACTACTTGTCAGATTCTTGTCAAGGGATCCAGTCACTGAATCTCCAAGCCTTTTAAGCTTCTGAAGTCTAATCTGAGTCTAGGGACTGCCCTCAACTTTGGAGCCACTACAAACATTCTGGGGTGCAGATTCTCTGCCCAGCATCCGCTAAGAGCCAAGACTTACAGTCTCTTCCCAGGGCCAGCGCTGACTTCTCAGACTTCTACCCTTTCCTAGAATCTCACTGAAGCGGTGAACTTTCTGGTGATACCACTTAGGGTGCAGACAGAAGTGACAATTTTCACCCAATCTGGCCACAGAAGCAGTCTATAGCTGTGACCAAACACAAGTGCGTGAGTACAGACAGCTTGAAAAATTGCTGATTGGGTGAAAATCTGACCCCTCAGTGCATTAAGTATCAGATAAAGACATTTCAAAATATAGATTCTTTTGTAAGTTGTGTCTACAGAAGGTCCCAGCCTATCACTGTTTTCAGAATGGGAAGGGAGAAAGGGAGCTGAGGGAGTTCAATCTGGGTTTTTTTCAGCTGCCTTGGAGGGTGGTGTGGGTATACCGCCTTGGAGCCCCTTGGAGGGCTTCAGCCGCCTTGGAGTGTGGGGAGGGTGGTCCCCCTGAGGTGGGGGGCTCCAATTCACCCACCCCACTCCTCAGCACCAGTTGGGGAGCCCCAAGGATTAGCTCCCTTCACTGCTTTTCCCCCCTCCCATTCTGAAAACAGTTGGCATTGGCAGAGGCCTGGCCACTGCTGTGGGAACCTGGCTGCAGGCTCCCAGCCACAGCTAGATCCCCCTTCCCCCTGGAACCAACAGTGAACTTCTGTTTGGTCTGGAGTAACATTTTAACTCAGAACCCTTTACAAAAAGGGTTCTGAGTTACAGCTGAGATCTGCACTTCTATCTGCACCCTTAACTGTCCAGATATGACAGATAACTTCACTTCTTGAACAATGATTGATGGGCCTCAGTTCATTCTTATTCTGTTAGGTGCTTAGAAACATACATGAAGACATGCGTTCCTGCTCCCAAAGTTTACAAACTGGGCGTGTCTACACATGCATTAATGCAACTGAATAAACTACGGCACAATCTGAGCTAGAGTAAGCTAATCTTGATGTTGCTGTCTCCATATGTGTTTAAGCGTAGTAATTTACTCTGCTGTCAGATTGTACCTGTGTCTGACAGGACTATCCAGTGGCACTGTAAATTAGTGTACACTGGCCTAATTGCTATGCATGTGTAGATGATGATGCTTTATTGTGCAGTAAAATAGTTTACTGCACAGTAAAGCGCATGTGTAGATGTGCCCACTAAGACTAGAGTGCCATTTGAAGGAAGGGCAATCCATGTAGTGATGGGAAAACATTCAAGTCTACTGCTTCCATCCCTACTAGCTGAGGGAATGGAAATTTTCATTTTGGAACTACCTGTTCTGTTTAAAATGGTTAAGATATGAAAAAAAAAAAGTAACATCAGCAAACCTCCATGTGAGAAAGCTCTAAGCACATTTCCATATTATGTGAAGTCTTTAAGAGGTGGTGAGGATTGATGGTTTAAGCCATAGGTGGCCAATCTATGGCATGAGTACCACAAGTGTCACAGGCAGCTTGTATGTTTGGCATGCAGCAGCACAGTGGCAGATAGGGCAAACAGCAGAAAGCAAGCACAAATTGGGTGGGGAGCACAAGTAAGGAAGCAGAAAGCAGAACAGCAGATCAGGTAGCAAAAGGGGATTGGCATGGCACCTGGAGAGGGTGTAGGCCTAATTAGTGGCACACCTTCCAAAAAGGTTGACCCCCACTGATTTAAGCAAATCTTCATCTGAAATTATCCATCTAGGTAAAACAATTTGGATAAAAAGATCAAACTTTTTAATGCGTTCCTAATTTGCAGGCCTATTTCTAAATAATCCTGTGTACCAAAAATGCTCTTCTATTTTTAGATTTCTAGGCAAATATTCAACATATGTCAGTCAGCACATAATAAAAATATACTTATCAGTTACTTTTCTTCTGGCTACCCTTAAAGATCCTGTCACTTTCATTCTGAACATCATGTCAGGCCAAATGTGTGCATTCCCAGCTGTTACCTTCTCTGAATCAGTAAGTGTTTTGACCAGCTTTTATATAAGTGGTGATATTGGAAATCATCACTGTCTGGAGGACTGGGCAGAATACCGAGAGTCAGAAAAAAAATCTCATTTTGTTTTTGCACCTAACTTGCCTCAGACAAATCATAAATCTATTTCTGTTTCTCCATCTGTAAAGCAGAGAAAGTAATACTTATTTCCCCATATCTCATGAGAATTTTGAAAAATTGCTGCTTATATTTGTGCAGTGCTTTAAATACATAAGGTACTTTATAAATCCTAAGTATTTGTTTTTATTTATGATACCCAGCAATTCTTAGTTTGAAATTTAAGAATTCTCTTTATTGTCAAAAAAGATACATTTTATAAATATTATATGGACTACTACAGGGCAAATGGGCAGAGAGATAAAATATTAATATCTTAGTTTGATCAATGATGGCATTATTACAAAATTAAATGGAGATAATGCTTTTTATTATTTATGAAAAATATCTTATTTACATACATACCCTCACCTGTTTATAAAAGTGGAGAATAGAAGGGGAATATACAAGAATAAATGTACCGTTTCCTTGGCATGAGTTTAGTATGGCTGCAGTATTTGCAAATAGTAAAATACTCTGGAATATCTCTCTTCAGTTAAACAATTTGTCTAATAAATCTGCCCAAATAAAAGCTGTTCCATAGCAAATATATAAATATTTGACAGCTGTTGGCCATGATACTCAAAGTGTTTGTTTAAGTCTAAGTGTTAATTTTGTATTTGTCATTGGCTGACAGATTTGTCATTATAATCACTAAATTTACAGGCATCTCAGAATGCATAGAGTAGGCTCTTCAATCATTCAGATTTCTTTAAAATATAAATGTTATTAAGACTGCATATAAAAACAATCAATCAACTGTTGTCACAGCAAGAGTGGGATATTTGGTTGGCTTTGACTCAGTCATGTTACGACAATTTCGAAGATAGTCATTTTTGTGACCTGAAACAAATCTTTCCTTTTGAGAGAAAACTGAATTATTTTAATTTAATTAATGGAAAGGGATTTCTGTGGCTACACCATGTGGGCCTAAATGTCTGTGAAATAAGCATCAACACACCCTGTTGAATAAATTGTTTTATTTTTACCCCTTTTCATGCTAAGAAACTAATATACAGATAGATTGAGCCACTTGCCTATATGCTAACATTTTTTTTTGGTTTTGTAGAAATGGATATATTGATCTGATCTGATCTGATGAAAGGCGTGTTTTTGACAGACAAGTTAAAAAAAAATTAATTATTGAGTCTCAGACAAAGGAAAATGTAATTGAATTGTGAGTTAAAATATAGCTTGAATAGATTTTTTCTGATCTATTTGGTTCCAAAAATATTTAGGTGTTACATTAGGCACATACATATATGAATTTATTCCAGCTTAGATTTACTCTGGTGTAAGTAACACCTGAGTAAGGGTTTTTGGGCAGGTGTCTACACATGCGAGGTTAGGGACCAAATTTGCATCCAATTCCCTGCAGCCTTGCAGTGGGCCCCTGCCACCACTGGGGCGGCAATGTCCCCTTGCCCTGGCAGCAGGGAGCTCCTGGCCCTGGCTCCCTTATCAGGGGCACAGGGTTTGGAATGAGCTGCAGGGGAGGAGCAGGGTGCTAGGACCTCCCCCCCCACCCCCCCATAGCTCTCTCCAAGCCCTGTACCTTGATCACCTGATCAGGGCATGGGGCTGGGACCTGCCCCTGACCGGAACAGTTCTTGGCCAGTACCGGGCTGCGGGGGGAAGTTTGCATGTACAGCCCAGAGCTGGCTGGGGACTGCCTGAAACAGGACAGACTCCAGCCACCTCCAGGCTGCACGTGCTTTCCTGCACAGCCTGGGCCTGGCTGGGAACTTTCCCCATCAGGGGACTTGGAATAAGTTCCTAGCCCCAGCTCCACGATTGCAGAGCTGAGCAGGGAACGGTCTTTCTTGCACCTGCCAGCAGGGAGCTCCCAGCATGGATCCATGGTCACAGGACTTAGGCTGGGAGACTCTTCTCTCTCAGCCCAACCCCCGTGACTATGGAGCTTAGCCTGGGAGATAAATGTCTCCCAGCCCCCCACTCCCCAATTGCGATGGTGGAGCAGGGGCTGGGGATAAGGATCTCCCAGCCTCTGGTCCCCGATCATGTTCTGGGAGCAGGGAGCTTGGAGATTC